GAGAGAATTATATTAAGTGAAACAAGTCAGGCACAGAAAGAGAAATACCACATGCTCTCACTTATTGGTGGGAGATAAAAATAAATAAATAAGTTCACACACACACAAAAGAAAAAAAAAAAAAACAGGGGGGGGAGAAGAAGACATAACAATTACAATTCCTTGAAGTTGACACAACAAGCGAACAGAAAGGACATTGTTGGGTGGGAGGGGGGAAAGGGAGGAGGAAGGGAGGTTTCGGTAAGGGGCACATTAGTCAACCACATTGTATATCGACAAAATAAAATTTTAAAAAAAAAGAGAGAGAGAGAGAAAACACTCTTGATTAAAGCCCAGAGCTCCCTAATCAAGGGAGGAGGAAAGGAGGTTTCGGTAAGGGGCACATTAGTCAACCACATTGTATATCGACAAAATAAATTTTTAAAAAAAAAGAGAGAGAGAGAGAAAACACTCTTGATTAAAGCCCAGAGCTCCCTAATCCAGGCTTATGGGGTTTGAGCTCAGGGTGAGGCAGTTTGAATAATTCCGCATGTTTTGGATTATTATCAAGTTCTAATATGGGGATCATGAAAGCTGAATAAACTTGGCCCTTCCCTGTGGTGGGGCAGATGCTAAGAAAGGTAAGGAGCAGGAGTCTGTGCCTTGTACTTTTTTATATAAGGCCAATTTCTAGCCTCAGGCCCTGCTTTAAAGGTGACCTTCATGCCTATCTAGCCCTGTTCTTGGCACAGGGGCTCAAAAATGTTTATGAAATTAAATTGAATGGATATGACAATGAAGATGCTCAGTAATTAAACAAATTAAAGCTTAAACTGTACAGAGCTGACAAATCATCAATATCTAAGGAGATAACAGGATGAATAAACAGAAAAAAACATCATATTGGCGATAGAATTTATAAGCCATGTCCTGAAGACTGACTTGATTTAGGTGACAACTGGTGAGGAAGATATTGAGGAAGAGGAGCATGCACAAAAGCATAAAGATTTCAAGTAGATTGGGGAACATACTGGAACACAGGGGTATAATTAGGATGGAGTGAGATAAGACTGGATAAGTCAAGGATGACAGGATTATGGAAGACTTGGGGAGCTAGACAAAGTAACCTGGCATTGATGGACTTGACAATAGAAAACCTGCAGCTTCTTCAACTAGGATAGTAGCATGATGAAAAGGATCTTTTGGAAAAGTTAGTCCAGCTGTAAACAGTTAACAAATGCAATTTTTGAGTATTGTGTTCCACCCTCCTCCCAAAAAAATTCAGCTTAGTACTGCAAGGATTCAGAAAGACAGAATTCAAGCTTACCTGCAAGAAATGACCTACAGGATGGATTGAAGGGTCGCAGCAGCGTCTAATGGAAATATAATGCCTGCTACATATGTGATTTTAAATATTCTAGTAGCCACATTTGAAAACAGAAAAAGAAGCAAAATTCACTTTAATAGTACATTTTATTTAACTCAATGTATCCAAAACATTGGGGCTGGAGAGGAGAAAAAGGAATAGCTTGAAAAGAACATGTATGAACTTCTAAAAGCACAGGGTTATATGCTGGGAGTAGTGAGAATATGAGGCAACAAGAACCTAGAATGTGTGAGGAGAACATGAAGATAGGAAAGGAAAAAAAGTGAGGGGTAGATTGTGTCAGGGAGTGAAGAGCTTTGTAGCAAAGCTACAGAATTCAAACCCCGTGGGCTTATAGAACCAACAGAAATTTTTAACGGAAAAATGATTTCATAAGCTTTTCTCTTGGTAATTACAGTGGCAGTATGAAGAACATGGATGGGAAAAAACTGAGCAGGGAAACAGATTACCAGGCTGTTGCAATAATGGTCCAAAGAAGATATGACGAAGGCCTATTTTAAGCCAGCAGCCTAGGGTTTGTGAGAGACAAAATCAAATGATGTTTTAAAATTAGAAGCAGCAAGATTTGGCAGCTGACTATATGTGGGGGATGAGAGAAAGGATGTGAGAATAACACCACATTTCTAAGTTGGGAGACAGGTAAATGGTGATGCCATTTACCCAGACCAAGAATAGAAGGGGTAGGCCTCTGGGTCCCTACGGCGGCAGAGCTGAGCCATGGCACCACTCCTCCAGGCTTCCCACTACTCAGCTGCCTGCTCAGCTGCCCACTCTGCCACCATCACATAACAGGCCATCTCCTTCACTTCCTGTCCAGCAGCATTGCTGCAGCCATCTCCAAAGATAGTCATGGCCCGGATCGAACAAGTCAAGCTGCTGCAACTCACCAGTAAGCAGATCGCGGCTGACAAGCAATGCACAGGCATCATGGACTGCATCGTCTGCATCCCTAAGGAACAGTGGTCCTGTCCTTCTGGAGGGGCAGCCTAGCCAGCATCATCAGCTACTTCTCTACCAACCCTCAAGCTCCCCTTCAGGGATAAGTATACGCAGGTGTTCCCAAAGCGTGGACAAGCACACACAGTTCTGGAAGTATTTCGCTGGCAATTCAGCCTCCAGCAGGGCAGCCAGAGCCACCTCTCTATGCTTGCCTAGTCTCTGGATTTCTTCAGAGCCCATCCGGGGGCCAGTGTTGGGAAATCAGGCACAGAGCGGGGGTTCAAAGGCCTGGGAGACTGTCTGGTGAAGCTCAAGTCTGACGGGATCTCAGGACTGCACCGGGACTTCAATGTCTCCGTGCAGGGCATCATCATCTACCTGGCAGCCTATTTCACATTAGGGGAGGCACTGAGGCACACTCCCTGACCCCAGAAACACCCACGTCGTGGTAAGCTGGGTGATCACCCAGACCTGGACAGTCGTGGCCACTGTGGTCTCTTACCCATTCAACCCTTTGTGGCAGTGGACATTGTTCAAGTCTGGGCACAGATAACCCAATTATCTTTTACACAGGGACCTTCAATTGCTGGGGGAAGATTTTTCAGAGATGAAGAGAGCAAAACATTCTTCAAGGACATGTGATTCAACGTTCTCAGAGATATTGGAACAGGGCGTGGGGGCATCCTTGCTGGTCTCGGTCCTGTATGGTGAATTGAAAAAAATTATATAAGTGTGTCTCCTCACTGAATATGGAAACCAGGAGAATCATGTAGCATTCTTAACTGTTATGGACCGTTCACCTTCAGGAAATTCCATTCCTCTTTGACCTGGCCAGATCATGTCTGTAGAGGGCTGGGGAAGGCTTTAGAAAAGAGTCTCATCTTGATCACTTTTGTCCATTGGCAAACTGATTCCATGTACAGGTGCTCTTCAGCTTATGATGGAGTTACCTCCAGATAAACTCATCATAAGATAAAAATACTTAAGTCAAAAATGCATTTAACACAAGTACACCTAACCCACCAAGCATCATAGCTTAACCTAGCCTACCTTAAATGTGTTCGGAACACTTACATAGCCTACAGCTGGGCAAAATCATCTAACACAGAGCCTATTTTATAATAAAGAATTGAAGATCTCATGTGATTTATTAATGTTCTGTTGAATGCATGATGCTCTACTGAATGCATATCACTTTTGCACCATCATAAGGTCAAACAGTCGCAAGTCAAACTATCACTGTTGGGGTTTCTCAGGAACTGCAGTTGTCTGGAGGCTTCAGTGAAATGTTGAGGGAGAGATAGGGGTGGCTAGAAGGAAAAAAGAAGAAAGATACAAGGATAGGAGATAGTGCTAGAGTTACCTATGGAATGTAAGCTAAAGGAAGTGTCCAAAATGTGTGTGGGAGAGGTGAAGTAGAAGCAGCCAAATGATTATAGGTTTCCGTAAGGCCAGAGGTGATTTGGTATGGTTAAGAAATGGATGTTGACAAGCTCAAAAAAGAAAGAAAGAAAGAAAAGAAAGTGCATAGTGACAGCTCTCCAGGGGAGTATTAACTTGTACTGATGAAATTCAGGATGTCATGGTGTCTATGGGTGCATGATGGGTGGGGAGTGAAGTTGAAGGTCTGTTTTTGCAGATTCTTAGAAAGATAACATCCGTTCAACTCTAAAGTTCTGTTTCCAGTTGGAGGAAAAGGATGAGAAACAGGCTTAGGGAGTTTGACCACAGTAGAACCAGTATTCCACAGAGGACATA